CCTACTTAGTTTTCTAAATTAAAGTCATGTTTATAATACGCATCAACACCATGTCAAACATATGTTCTATTTGTGTTCCTTCTTTCATCCAATTCAACATTCGTGTTGTATCACTCTATTGGATGACTATATTATATGTTGTATAGTATAGTAACGTTTTTTATATATTAGTCTTTTATGTATTTTTATGCACCAATGAAATATTTTTGTATTTTGACATAGCAAAGATTTTTCATTACTATACTTTTACATTTTTAATATAGCATAAATGGCAACTGGCACACGCAACATTTAGTTTATATACTGTTTTTCTATATTAGATATCACCATTTGGATATTTGTAATTTTACTAATTGTAAACTTTATTTCTTATGGCGGCAGTTAACACATTGTCGCCACCGATAAACTTCAGTGTAGGTACTTCTTGTACATAAGATAATCAAATATACATGTCTTTGTTTCCATTCGATTATATTATACTAGTTGTGTATAGTATAGTATCGTATGGTGTTTTGTACTACATGAATTACACTATATGGCATATAATATAGTAATATGTGATCCGCTTTTGACGCAAATTTTGATTGTACAGTTCAGTGTAGTCATAATATGTTATAGCTGATGTCATAATATGAATTATACACGTTATGTTATAGTTTCATGTCTATGTCTCCTATATTGTACATGCCAACTTAGTCCTAATATGCAACATAAATCATTATTTACGTGAGTTGTGTTGTTAGCTTTTTCTCCCATATTTTCAGCTGTATCCATTGGTGTAGTATGAATGCCTTTCGAATATACGTTATGTAAGTGTGCATACATACCACCAAGCTAGGTTCCTACTTCTTCAGACATGAATCAATTTTTTCATCTTTCATATGTACACATACTTTGGACCCTTTTCTTATGAGTTAGGTGATGAAACTTTTACCCTTTCCGAGCTACATGTACTATATTATATCACATATATAATAGTACCTTCTCCTTATTCATTCTCCTTATATGTTATTGTACTGTATATATATGTCTTATTTTTAGTACAGTCTAACATTGGACGTTTTTACGTTTTAAACATCTATAATTTTTTATCTTATTCCGTTGGAGTTAATCATCCGGCTCCAGAAACACATATGTTACGTTGATGCTCTCTTTTGTTTTTTCTATGTTTAAACTACATCATCTATTTAATAGTATAGCATAGCTCCAAAACCACATAAGTTCATCTCAAATAATGTGATTGTTGAATGCAAAATGTAATGTTAGCTATGTTTCACTTTCATTATTTCACGCGCACACGAGTGAAAGAAAAAAAATCTGTTTTTAACGCAAAATGTCACATCAATTTTGTTATGGGTATATATTTTATTTTATCATCTCGTATGAATATTGCAAAGATTCACTCTAAAACTATCTACTCTATTAAAATAAAATCCTTCTTTTTATCTACTAATACACGTTGTTATTTAAATTTGGACCATTTCTAGAGTGTTACAATAATACAAGCCATATAGTTAGTTAAACCACTTTACTTAAATTAAACCAGTGGTTATTTATGGGATATAGTCTTGGGCTTATTTTTTTCCGAACAAATTATATGGTTTAGTTTCTTGGCTTAATATTAAGGAAAATCTCCAAAAACCATTAAATAAACTTTTTACCTTAATAGATCAAAAAAATCAATTATTATTTTCAAATCAAAAAGATATTTAATATTTTTAAGAAAACAAATTGTCTATTGTTAATCATTTATTTAAATTATGTACTTTAAAACATGTAAATGTATTTATTTTATTTTAAATAACAATCACTTTGTTTTGATAAATTTCAATGGTAACTTTTAAATAATTTCTTGTTTTATTTTTGTTAAACAATTTACTGATTTAAAAAATGTAAACAAAACCAAAAACCAAATCTAAAAACTATAATCCAAAATCAAAAGCTGAAAATGCATGTTATATTTTTTTGCTTTGGTTTATTTACAAAATAAACTATTGCAAATTTAATTTAAACTTTTTTTTGTCATCGTTTCAGTTTTAAATTAAATTTTCGATTATTTGAGATTTGTTTGTTGGTAATATCAATTCTAACTAACTCAGTGGGTCTAATATATTAAAAACTCAAACTAAAAGTTGAAAATCAAAAATAGAAACTTAAAAACTAAAAACCTAAAACCAAAATCTAAAACAAAATCTAAAAATAAAACCGAAACTAAAAACTAATGAAAAACAATCATCACCACAAATTTTGGTGAACTGATTTTATGTCAAAATCTTCTTTAAATTAAGACAAAATTTAATTATATAAATTTTTAATCATAAAAATTTTCGGGTTTGGAAAATTTCGCGCTTGGAAAGCACGGATCAAAATCTAGTTTACATTTTAAACGAGGAAGAGGAAGGAAATAAAATTTTTATAAGCTAGTTGGCTTACACGTGAGCGTGACCAATAAAGTATGTAATCTGGTTAATTAGTAGGTATGAACTGAAAGAGGAGTTGAACACAAAAAAAAAAAAAAAAGAACTGTAAGAGGCTTTCTTTGTTCCCCTTTTCTTCCTCTTTGCTTCGTAGTTGTCAACTTCTGGAAGCCCCCCTCATTGATTGCAACGTGTATCTTCATTCTCCTGCGCAATTTAATGAATAGTCAATTCTCTTCGAATCTTCAACGATCCTCTTCGTATATTTTATAGGTTTCGGTTAAATGAAAACATCAACTCTTCCTATATAGTTGTAAGCTTTACATCGTAAACAAAAAATTATATTTCGCTTCCTTCTTCTCTGCTTCAAGACCTTTCTTCACCACCATCTGTCCCATTTTACTGGTATCTTTCTTTATCTCTCTCTCTCTCTCAAGGAAGGTTGTGGCTATTATTTTCAAAGAGATTGTTGTGGTAGGGCCTGCTTTTGCTGGACTTCTGTCTTAAGCAGTTATTATTGTAGGGAACGTCTGATACAATAGTTTCAAAGTTTCTTTAATGTGTGTATTGGTGGGAAAGCTCTCTTTTTTATTTTCTACCACTTGTTTGCTCCTCTTTTTCTTTTTTTTTGTTTTTTGTTTTTTGTTTTTTGATTTTTGTTTTTGAAGAGATAAATCATGAATGGTTGGTTTTAACAAGGGGATCCAGTGGAGTTGTTTTATGGTTTTCAACCATTTTAATATTGAATTTGAGGTCTAATAGTCTTGACCTTTTTACATACGCTGAAGTGACTTTGTTCAAACTATAGAAACCCACAAAAAAAAAAGCTAAACCGTATGTGTTTGGTCTTTGAGTTTGTCTCATTTATGCAATTCATGTTGATAAGGCTTCTTCTTCTGAATTTTTCTTGTTGACTTTGAATCTGTTCATTGATCTAAGACATGGATACCAATCGGAATGCTCACCCGGTTTGCAAATATTCTAAAAACCCCTTCCATGAATGTGCTTCTGATTGTATGGAGAAGATTGCTCAAGGCAATGGAAAGAAGAATTCAAAGAAGCAAGGTACCACTTTATAACTTTCTCTTTTTTTTGTTTGGGGAATAGAATCTGTAGTATGATTGATCTGTTAATCTGTTAATTTGTTTTGGCAATGGATCTAACTACATCATGTTTCATCTGATTGAATATATGATAAGATTTGTCGGTATCAAGAACTTGTTGTAGCCTTTTTGGAATGGATGGATATACTCTGTTTTTGCTCTATTTTATGGAAAATTTGATCAGTGCTTTAGCCAGATCTCTATCCTTTCCCTTTTATCTTATTATTAAATGTTTGATTACAGCCTCAAAGGTTCTTAGCCTCCCAGGGAGTTTCGGTAAGAAAAAGACAGAATCACATCCACCGTCACCTCTTAACACAAGGCACTATCAGAACGGTAATTCGCCAAGAGTTCACCAATCAAGACCTCCACCAATAGCTGTGAAGAAGACAACTATTCCAGAAACTAACAGATCTTTCCCCTCTTCATCGTCTGATGAAATCTTTGTTAGCCTCAACGGCAAGCATGATTCTGTCAACCATAAGCCAGAGAAGCCATTGAAGACGGTTCCTCTATCCCCAAACAACATGGTATTTCTTCACATGGTCTTTTAATAGCAAAAATCTTACAAGTAAAGAGTGTCATGTTGACATGTTCTGTTGTTGTTCAGGGTAATCGTACCAAAACCGTATCACCAAGACCTTCGGGGTATGAGTACAACGGCAAGAATGACACAGCCAGTGAGATTAGTGAAGTTAATGTTGTAAGCCCTCCAAGTTCTTACGTCAAGGATGATGATGATGATGAGGAAGGAGTAGAGCTTGACCTTCAATCAGTAATGTCGGACACATGTGTTTCGGTTGGAAAATACCGTGTGAGCTCTGGTGTCTCCACAATCCTACAGTCAATTATCAACAAGTACGGAGACATAGCTACAAACTGCAGACTAGAATCAGCATCGATGAGATCAAGATACCTAGATTGTCTATGCTCATTGATGCAAGAACTTGGTTCAACTCCGGTCGCACAGTTGACCGAACTAAAAGTGAAAGAGATGCTTGCTGTTATTAAGGACTTGGAGTCTGTGAACATTGATGTTGGTTGGCTACGTTCTGTTCTTGAGGAGTTTGCTCGGTACCAAGAGAATGCAGACGCAGAAAAAGAGAGACAAGAGAAGTCGGTGAGGTCTAAGAAACAAGAGTTGGAGATTCATGAAGCAGACTTGGCCAAGATAGAGGAGGAAGCTAGGGAAGTGAGGTTGAGGGTCGAGGTGATGAAGGCGGAGCTGGCGGAGCTTGAGACAGAGCGGTTGAGGAAGGACGAGATGGGATTTAAGTTTGAGATATTTAAAGGGAGGTCGTTTCTTGATGAGCTTCTTTGATGTACTCGATACATATATTTAAGAAATAAAGACCAAAATAACACCAAACTAAGTTTTTGTTCCCAAACTAGCATTCAATATCAAAAATCATAAAAATAGGTTTCATTAAAGATATCATTTACCTTTATACCCTCCTTTGTAATTAAAAAAAAAAACAGAGATCGGAAAAATATAGTAATCTCCTAACTCCTTTCTCTCTCTCTCATTTCTCGACGAGACTTCATGGTTGAAGAGGACGAAGTTATTGTTCTCGGCACCGGTCTCAAGGAGTGTATCCTCAGCGGTCTCCTCTCCGTCGATGGTGTCAAGGTCTCTCGATTCGTCTCTGATTGGCTTTTGATTCATGATCTGTTTTCGTCTGTTATTGCTCTGATCCGGTTTATATTCTCTACTTTTGTTTGGTATATTTGATAAACCGATCTCAAATCAGATGAGATCTCCGATAATCCGATTGTATGATTTAGACTCGTTTTTTTCGATCTTGATATAGATGAGATGTTTGGTTTGCGATTAATATAGATATGTGGAGACTTTGTTGTTATGTCATTGGACTCCCTTGATCTGATATCTGATGCGTCGTTGGGTTTGGTAGACTGATTAGTGTTGTTTTGTGGTGATATATCACATGAGTAGGTGCTTCACATGGACAGGAATGATTACTATGGTGGAGAGTCTACATCTCTTAACCTGAATCAGGTTCTTGTTTCTGAACTTTCTTTAGAAGTTCTGTGTTGTAGTTTTCTGATAGATGATATTGTCTCTGTTTTGAATTTTTTTCTTTTTGTTTGCAGCTTTGGAAGAAGTTCAGGGGAGAAGACAAGGCTCCTGAACATTTAGGTGCTAGCAGGGATTACAATGTTGACATGATGCCTAAGGTATTGTTGTTCTT